TCTAATGCTGTCTCCTGGTTCGGAGTATTTTTAACTGACTTTATAAACTGCCTCCCTTCCCAGTAGAGGTCTCTAGGAAGAGGAAGGGAGGAAGATCGAGGCTGATGGGCCTGACTGTACCGTCCTTGCATTTTCCGTGATGGACCCGGTGGGACGCGCGAAAGGGATTTAACCCCTGGGTGTTGCTAGGTTGATGTGGTCTGTGGCAGTTCCCTGTAGGTGGGGAACACCTGCTGCTTTGTCCTTCCCACCTTACATGCTGTGGACTGCCTGGTGCCTTTGGTGTTCCAGGCATTGCTAGACTGATCAAGGTCTTTGGCAGGCTGTTGTAATCTACTGACCTTGATTCTCTTCCCTCTCTAAGGACTCGGGATCTGCTTCGGGCTGGGGTGTTGAAGGAGAAGCCCCTCTGGTATGACGTATACGAGGCCTTCCCACCGTTGAGGGAGCCGGTCTTCCAAAGACCCCGCTTGCGATATGGCAAAGCCAAAGCTCCCATTCAGGACATCTGGTACCACGAGGATCGGATAAGAGCGTGAGTGTGCAGCCTATGTGGTGATCAGAACACACCAGAAGTTAAAAAGGGAGGATTTAGGTAGCAGTCTGGTAACGAAAATTAGTTGTGGAGGTGATCTTGTATATCAAAGTCAAATTAGGGCATCAGCAACCCTCCCTTCCCTATGGTGAGAAGAAACAGAAGTTCTTAGAAGTGGAGCCTAGCAACTGACAGATCAATTGCAGTTGTAGCGGCCTGTTTTGTGCCAATTTGCTGTGCTCCAGACACAGGTAAACTCTTTTCAATTAGTTTCTTGTAGGCCTCACTCTATACCTGTAAGGTGGGTATTCTTATCTCCATTTTATCCAAGAGGACTGTGAGAGTCAAGGAGGTTAACTTCCTGTGGTTATACAGGAGGGCAGCAGCTCTGGGAATCACATCTCTGACTCCAAGCTCATGTTGGTCATTGTGTCTGCTTCTCCGGGAGTGGAGATAGGGGATATGTGGTCTGTGGATCTAGTAGTTGGGATCTTTGAAGTCATTCAGAATGATGCTTAAAAGTCCAAGGGATTGGGGCGGGGGTGTGACTTAGTGGTAGAGTGCTTGGCGAGGCACTGGGTTCTATCTTGGCTCCACATAAAAATAAACAAATAAAATAAAGGTATTATGTCCATCTACAACTGAAAATATATGTATTGAAAAAAGGTCCAAGGGATTTAAAACAATCATCACTAAATTTGAAAGAAAGTTTTTACATGTTTTATTTACTTGGCCTCTGTTTCCTTTTTAATTAAAAAGTGAAAACATGCTTATTATGGAAAATTTAAAGACAAAAGAGAAGCATAAAAAAGAAAGCACAAATCACCCAAAATCCCACCATCTAGAGACAGTGATTTGAAGGCAAGCCCTGTTACTTGACTCAGCTATGTGGCCTGGGTAAATTATCCCCGTAAGCTTCAGTTTCCATACAGTAAAATATAATAATAGTACTTCTGGAGTAAAAAGGTGAATTAAGATAATGCATAAAGGTTTTTTAGTTCATTACCTGACACAAAGTAAGCCTTTAATAAATGATTGTTGTTATTAAGAACATTTGGGTCTTTCCTTGTGTTTTTTAAATATATTTTTTAGTTGTCAATGAACCTTTATTTATTTATATGCGGTGCTGAGAATTGAACCCAGTGCCTCACACATG